TGTTTGTTGGACACCACAGCGCAATCACTAAAAGAAAGAAAATTAGAAAATGTAATATAACAAATAAGCCAAGGGTGTAAATCAAATGGAGCTATAAAAAATTAGCCCAATTAACTCAACCTCAAATCATAGAAAAACTGAGAAGAAAAGAACAAAGAGCAAAAGGAGCAGAGAGAAAACAACTAGGAGAACAGCAGATTTTAATAAAAATAACATCAATGATTATAATAAATTTAAATGATACTAACACACATTAAAAGATAGTGATTTTTTTTTCGGATAAAAATGAAAAACTATTATATGCTGACTATAAGAAGTATACTTTATATATAAAGACATCAATCAATAGATTAAAAATAAAAGGACGGAAATAGATATACCATGGAAACACTAACTAAAACAAAACGACTGGCTATATTAATATTTACCCAAGTATACTCTGGAAGAAAGAATACTACCAAGGAGAAAAGGTGCATTACATATTAATAAAGAGAGATAATTCACTGAGAATTGTATAACAAATCTAAATATCTATGTACCTAGCAATATTACTTCAAAATATACGAAGCAAAAACTGTTGGAAATGACAGGAGAAATATACAAACTCTCAATTACAGTTAGATGTTCAACGTTTATCTCTCAGTAATTAATAGAACAAGTAAACAGAAAAATCACTGAGGATGTAGACGACTAAACAACACTATCAATTACTTGATCTAATTGACTTTTATGGAATAGGCCACCCCCAAATAGCAGAAAATATATTCTTTCCAAATGCACATGGAATATCTATTTAGGTGAACAATATTCTGGTCCATAAAATAAATGTTCACCAACTATAAAAAATTAAAATCATGTAAAGTACTTTCTTTAAGAAAAATGGAATTAAAGAAGAAACTAACAAAAGAAAAATACATGGAAAATCCTCAAATGTTTGGAAACTAAACAGCACACTATTACATAACCTGTGGGTCATAGAGAAAGTCAAAAAGGAACATAGAGAATATTCTCAATTCAAGTAAATTGAAAATGAAACATATCAAAATTTGTGGGACATATTCAAAACAGTGTCAAGAGGAGAATTTATAACATTAAATGCTGCATTTGAAAACAAGAAAGATCTCATTCAATGATGTAATCTTCCACCTAAGAAAGTAGGAGAAAAGTGCAATCTAAATGCACAGGAAGCATAAGGAAAAGATATAATGACGATAAGAGCAAGAACCAATGAAATAGAAAATAAAAAATAATAGAGAAAATTAATGGAACGAAAAGCTAGATCTCTGATAGAAGCAATAAAATTCATACATCTCTACCCAGATTGATAAAGAAAAAGAAATATGGTGAAAATAAACGTTATCAGAAATGAAAGTGAGATATCACTACTGACATTAAAATTACGCCGAAGAAATATTGTGAAGAATTACATCCCAAGAAATTTAACATCTTTGATAAAATAGGCAAATAACATACAAGGGACAAGCTACCAAAGCCTATTCAAGAAAAAGATAATGTTGAGTCCTTTATCAATTAAATAAATTAAATTTGCAGTTAAAAATCATTCCAAGATAAATATTGCAGGACTGATGGCTTCACTATGATGCCTAAAACACAGTTATAGAAGAATTAATACCAGTTCTAGAAAACTCTTCCAGAAAAGAAGAGAAAATATTTTCAAACTCATTTTATAAGGTTAGTAAAACCAGAAAAGGACATAGCTAGAGGAGAAAATTATAGATAAATATTCCTCATGAAATATTCATGAAGTCCGTCAACAAAATATTAGCAAATATAATCCAAATTTATATAAAATTGATAATACATGATAACCAAGTGCAGTTTATTTTGCGAATGCAAAGTTGTTACCAAATTCAAAAATCAATCAATGTAATTTACCATAACGACAGCTAAAGAAAAAAGAAAGAAAGAATGAAAAAGATAAATAAAAATCTGTATCAAGATTCAATCAAGGCATTAGAAATAAACATTAATTCCTCCGACCTCAATGACTATAGCAACTGGAGAAAAGATAAGTGTCGGAGTTCTAAAAGTACTTTCCAGCAATTATTTTATCAGGATGACTATTCTATGAGCACAGGTAAACCAAGGCCACCACATTGTACAACTAAGGGACACCAGTCACATGATAGCCTACGTGATTGGGGTCTGTGGAATTGAGCACCCACAAATGGTAGCCCAGAGAATGGCGTAGGAGAAGTGAGAATCTGCCCAAAGATGTCAGGTTAATAAAACCATATGGCCAGGGATGATGAAGAATATATATTCATCTATATGATAGAAAAAATATTTTCTTAAATAAAGATTGTATCTTCTAATTACCTCAAGTTCCTTAAGGATAAGCACAAGGTATATCCTGAAAATATTTCTTAATTTTAGGAATAAAGAGAGAGCTTAATCATGCAAATGAAAAACTGAGTGATGTACAAGAAAGAACAATCAGGTTTGCTTCAGACATCTACATAGTAATATTAATGCTAGAAGAAAATTTCTGCAGATTTCTGAAATACAAAAACTGTATCTTATACATTTACAAATTAATTTCAAGTTTAAAGTCAAGAGAAAACCATTCTTGGTTTGCAGGAAAAAAGAATAACAGTATCTGTAAGCTTTTCTTTGGGGGAAAAACTAAAAAAGAAAACAAAATTAATTTATGATGACATTTAGTTAACCAAAATGTGACACGATATAGCGATTACCCATGAGTAGGAATCCACTAAAATATAGATTATAAATGAACAATTATAAAAGTTATGGTGTCATAGAAAAAATACAATTGTTTAAAAATTTGTCAAGGTTGAATTAATATAACTAGCAACCTAAGAATGTGAAATGTTGGAAGTGAAGTTATGCTACTATCTTCCTTTTTCTTAGTAGGAATTAATTTAACGATATCAATATTTGAAACATATAACTGAAAATAACATAATGATGCTCAAATGATTTTTCATATAGATCTGTGTGTGTATTTAACTTTATGAAGATATTTAATGAGCTAATGTCACTTGTGGTAGAGGAAACTATATCTGAAGTTTAGTAAATCTTTTCATTTCACACAGGATTATTTGTCTTCTTTTAAATTAAATTGAAAAATTTAATATGCTTTAAAATACATTTACAGCAAGATATAATTACAGTATATTTATCTATCCATCCTTCCATCTTCTGTCCATCCATTCATCAATTCATCCATCCATCCTTTTACATATACTCACACACCCACACACACATACACATGCATGGAATCGTATCTGAAATTATGTTTACCAAATTTTGATTATAAAAATATTTTGTGGGCTGGCCCGGTGGCTTAGCGGTTAAGTGCATGCACTCCGCTACTGGTGGCCTGGGTTCGGATCCC